TGGGATTGCTGGATTGTATGGTACTTCTATTTCTGGTTTTTTAAGGAAGCGCGAAATCAATTTCCGAAGTGGTTGTACCATTTTACATTCCCACCAACAGTGTATAAGTGTTGCAGTCTCTCCACAACCTCTCCAACATTTTTTATTTTGTGTTTTTTGGATTAATGCTAACCTTGTTGCAGGGAGATGGTATTTCATTGTAGTTTTGATTTTCATTTCTGTAATGGCTAATGATCGTGAACATTTCCTCATGTATCTGATAGCCTTCTGAATGTCTCCTTTGGTGAAGTGCCTGTTCATATCCTTTGCCCATGTTTTAATTGGGTTGTTTGTCTTTTTGTTGTTGAGATTTTGCAGTATCTTGTAGATTTTAGAGATTAGATGCTGATTCGATTTGTCATAGCCAAAAATTTTTTCCCTGTCTGTAGGTTGTCTTTTTACTCTTTTGGTGAAGTCTTTTCATGAGCAAAAGTGTTTGATTTTTAGGAGCTCCCAGTTACCTAGTTTCTCTTCTGGTGTTTGTGCATTGTTACTTATGGTTCGTATTGTGTTTATGCCATGTATTAGGGCTCCTAGAGTTGTCCCTATTTTTTCTTCCCTGGTCTTTATCATGTTCGATTTTATATTTAGGTCTTTGATCCATTTTGAGTTAGTTTTTGTTCATGGTGTGAGGTATGGGTCTTGTTTCATTTTTTGCAGGTGAATATCCAGTTATGCCAGCACCATTTGTTAAAGAGACTGTCTTTTCCGCAAATTAATTTACTTTGGGCCTTTGTCAAATATCAGCTGCTCATAGGTGGATGGATTTATGTCTGGATTCTCAATTCTGTTCCATTGGTCTATGTATCTGTTGCTGTACTAGTACCAGGCTGTTTTGACTACTGTGGTGGTATAATAGGTTCTAAAATCAGGTAGTGTGAGGCTTCCCATCTTGTTCTTCTTCAGTAATGCTTTACTTATTTGGGCCCTCTTCCCTTTCCATATAAAGTTTGTGATTTGTTTCTCCATCTCATTAAAAAATGCTGTTGGAATTTAGATTGGGATTGCATTGTATCTGTAGATCGCTTTGGGTAGAATAGACATTTTCACACTGTTGACTCTTCCTATCCATGAGCAACCCCTGGGCTCTTTTCATCATGCTGTTGGTCATTTACTCTCTTTCACATCTTCAGTTTCTCCCTCTCCACTGGATTCTTTCCCCTTGCACAAATATGTGTAGGCACCCCCTGTTTTATAACAAACAAAATGAACACAAAACCTTTCGTTGATTCTGCTCTTTCTTTAGACTGTCTCATTAAATCATCTGGGCCAACCCTTATCATCCATCCACCAACTTTCTAATCATCCACCCACCCATCCATCCATCTGTCTGTCTGCCTGCCCATCCATCCATCCATCCATCCATCCTTCCAACATTTACTGAGTGTTTATTGTGACCTTTTTTAACACATTAGAAAACCAAGCCTCAGACAATCAGAGGAATGAACCAAAGTTGCACAACTGGGCTATTATGAAATGTATTAGGGTTTTTACCTTTAAATTAGACAGTAGGGCCACTGTTGACTTCCTAAATGCCAAAACCAATGGATGCTTTTTAGTTCTCATCTTATTTGATCTGGATAATTCTTGGGGCATAGCATGAGTAGGAGAAAAGCACCAGAGGGATTAAGTTTTTAAGACTAAATACAAAATGCATAAATTTATATCTTAAGTTTTTGGTTATTTCTTTTGTTCCACTGTGGCAAGCCTGCTAAGCTACTAATGTATTCAAGAACTGGTTTAAAATCTAAATTTGTTTATGAGAGCTTTACAGTTTACACCGTAGGTTATGCACCAAGGAGAATTCAAAGTGACACCAAATATGTATGCATTAAATACACCAATCTGCCCATTTGGATCTGTGCAGCTCTTTTAAAATACTATGGGGTAGTGTCCCAAAGCCTGACATGTTTCAGGATAAGGGCAGGGAGCTGACTGTTATGCTGAAGCCTCACTTTTTTAGTGGTTTAAAGTTTAATAAGGCTTCAAATCCCTTTCCTACTTTCTTTTCCTAGTTCATTCAAAAATAGTGGAACCTCTGCCGTGTCAGGGGACACTTGCATAAAGAAGGACGGGGTTGGGTAAGAAGCCCTCTACTGTTGTGATGTAAGAGGCTCTGAGAAGACCCTCCTTTCCCCCCTAGACAGGTACATGAACAACCTAGTCTTTTTTGAGGGCTATTATTCCTGCAAGGAGCCCTGGTGGTACAGTGGTTAAGTGCTCAGCTGCTAAATAACTGAAAGGTCGAGGTTCGAGCCCACTCAGCTATTCTGCAGGAGAAAGACCTGGCGATCTGCTCCCATAAAGATTATGGCCTAGGAAACCCTATAGGGCAGTTCTACTCTGTCCTATAGGGGCTCTATGAGTTGGAATCACTATGAGATAACACACAACATTATTCTTGCGTTAGAAATACAGGATAGAAGGACAATCTATTATAATGCAAATGTATAGTTAATGTGAGTCATTTACACCTTAGGATGAATTATTCTTTTTGATAGACTGCTTATGGATTAGTTTTGATACTTAAGGAAGCACCGAGGGAAAGTGGAGTTAGAGGGCAGTTGGAAGTGAAGATTTGAAAAAGGAAATGATAGGCCTACATTTGTCTGTTTGTTTAAATGAAGCAAGAGAATCACAAAAAGATGTCTTGTCATAGGGCCCTGGTAAGATCAGTGGCTGGGAGCTGGGACTCCAGGCCAAGCAGTTATTTAACTAGCTGTGTGACTTAGGTCATTGTACCTTGAGTCCTTGTTCCTCATCCATAACTGGAGGTTGTAGGTGTAGATGGCCCTTTAAGTTCTCTTTCTGTGCTGACATTCTGTGATTTCTGCTGGAAGACCTGAGGACTCTGAAGAGTCCAAAAGTTTTTGTGATGGGCACAGGCCATACCAGTGAGCAGTCTGTGAGAGACATTGGTGGTCCACGGCATGGACTTGTAGTGCTAGGGGCCACAACTCTGCTTTGTAACCTGGGAGCATAGCTCATCCGGGTGCAGAGCACTTATTGCTGTGTGACTGAACCAATGAACTGGGGGAGGTGGCAGGTCCCCCAGCAGCACCATATAGAAAGCAGAGCAAAGACCTGGGGCAAAGGAGGCAAACCTTTGCCATTCTGTGACTGATGTTCTAGTTCCTTTGGAGCCTTCTTTCTCTTCCTTTTCTTGAGGGCTTTATTGAGTGGCCAGGACTGTATGATGAGTCATGCTCTTTTTCACAATTTTCTAGGGCTTTCAGCCAACAACCTAGTAATAGACAAGATGCTGTACTAACCTGACTTGTATACTGGCAAAAAGAAGGCTGCACCATGGCAGTATGTAAAGTATGCTGACCTTGGGGGGTGTGTACATCGTTAATGTAATAATAGCTTTGCTATTAATTTTGAGCACCAGCAGGCACTGAATTAGGTGTTTTATATGGGGTTGTTGTGAAAAGTAAATAAGGATCCTTGAGGATAAATATGATTTCCATTTTACTGATGTTCAAATAGATTAAATAACTCATTGGGTTTATAAACTCTCTTTTGGATCCATGGCCTATAAATCTACCATTCTTAAACTTTCTCCCTTCTTCAAGCAAGATCTCTTATTTCTAGCATTCCAAATGTAATAGGCTAGTCCTGTCGATTTTTAGTTTTTGTATTATATTCCCCACGCCCCCGGTCTGCCCAGCGAAATTACTTGAATATTTTAACATGTGAAAATTCATATAATCAGAAAGGGTAGTTCCCAGGAATTAAATCAAGTTGACCTATTATAGGATTGGTAACATTTGGTTTGATTGATAGTCCTTCTGGTCACTCATAGACGTTCTTTCTGTCTTTTTTAGAAGTTTTTGGTAGAGTAAAAGAGAGAAAACATCAGTTTTAAAATAATAGTCCAAAGTCCATTGCAAAATCTTATTTTTATGAAATAAGTAACAATAAAGTAATTAATTCTATGTTAATTCCACATTCTATGTTATACTAGTATAGCTGTCCTATGAGACTCTGGGATATAGTTGATTCTTACATTTCTTCTGTGGAATGATTTCTGACTGCTTTAGAAACAAATCTCAAGTCAGACAGGGAGGAGAGGAAATGACGATGTGGGAGAGAGCAACTTTGAACGATGGTGGGAAAGTATTCACTGTAGGGGCAAAGGGGTCCCAGTAAGAAGGGCTGAGGGAGCTCACTTACTTTTCCAGTGCTTAGGGAGTCCTGATTTCTGTCTAGTCATGTAAATATCATTACTTCTTTCCTTTTATTAATGAAAGTTTTTTTTTTCCCCTCCTTCTCTCTCTCTTTTGGGATCCACGAGTACACAACAATTGGTAAACTTGTAGACTAGGAAACTGTAATGGCATGCAACGGACGCCTGTGTTTATAAAGCACTTTTTAGTCGGTGGGACATTGCTGAGTCTCATAGCAGTTGGGTGCTGATGCCTCTCATGCTTTCTTTCTGTAAAACCAGTGTTTCTCTCAAGAGATGTTTCTTAAAAAATGGAATTTTCATGTCTTAAAATTTTTATGTAGGTATGGTTTTATGAGAATGTAAGTGCCAAGAATTTGAAATACTTCATAATCCATACTTCTAAAACTGGCTTATTTGTATCCATTTCAGGCACTGTCTTTCAGCTGTAGTGATTTTATTACTTGAATATCATATAAATTTGGAGGAAAGTAGTATTGAGCAGATCTTAATTATACTTTTATCCATGATTATAGTTGTAGATTTTTGTAAACCAGTATTAAATGGAGAAAACAGCAGTAAGAATTTAAAATGTAATTGGTGTTTTAATATTATTAAAATCTTTAACTTTTGGAACAAATTACAACTTTTTTTTTTTGAATAAAAAACTTGTTCCATCAAGTATTTAAGGTGGAAATAACCAGTAAATATGACATATTTTATGTGCCTGTGTACAGAAATAATAAGTAATAACATGGGTCATAAACACACACTTATTATTTTTCTCTTCTAGATATTTGAATGGTGGTATTTTCGCAAGTATGGAACATCATTCATTGAACAAGTCTCAGTAAGCCACTTGCGCCCCCTTCTGGGAGGGGTTGACAACAACTCCTCCAACAATTCTAACTCCAGTAATGGAGACTCAGATTCCAACAGGCAAAGTGTCTCAGGTATGGAAATTCCTTTATTTTGCAGCATCATTTGCATATTCTTACTAAATTGTCGTAAATATAAGACAATAATAATATGACTGTTGAAATATTAGACTTCAGAGCAAATGCAATTATTTTCCCAGGAGATTGACAGCCTATGTTAGAGAAGTAGTATATAAACATCCCAGAGAAAGGAAATGTCTACCTTGTTTAATTTCACTTTTTCTTCCATTTGATTTTACTAACAGTCATTTGAGGAGTCCTTGTGGCACAATGATTATGCACTCGGCTGCTAACCAGAAGGTGGGCAATTTGAACCTACCAGCAGCCTCATGGGATAAAGATGTGTCAGTCTGTCAGTCTGCTTCCATAAAGATTACAGACTTGGAAACCCTATGGAGCAGTTCTACTGTCTCAGAGGGTCGCTATGAGTTGGAATCAACTCGATGGCATACAACAACAACAGCAGTCACTTAGGTCAATATTCCTAACCTGAGGCTCAGCCTCCTCGCTCCTAGTTTCTCAGACCTCATTGAACTGATCTGTTACCCTTCATTGCTGATTGCAGAATCTTGTGCCTGACTAGATCTGATCACATTGTCCCTCTGCTTAAAAGACTTCTTTGGTTTTCATTCCATTGAAGATAAAGTCCAGATTCCTTGGCACAGCACATAAACTGCTTCTAAACCTGTCTTTTGTCACTATCCAGTCCCCTGCCTGCCGCCATATGTCCAGTGTTCTAGCCACAAGAAGCCACTTTTCATTTCTTGAACTTGCCGCATTTTCTCATGACAGTCTGCCATGAGAAAGAGTCCCTTTCTCCAGTGTTTGCTTCTCCTCACAACCCAAATCAAGTGTCACCTTGTGGGAAGCCTTCTCTGATATTTTGTGCAAATCTTTCCACCTTCTTTGATTCTTAGTATTTTTTACTTTTAGCAACACTTACCAATTACTTTGTAATTCTTTTTTTCTTTTTAATGTGCTTTAGGTGAAAGTTTACAACTCAAGTTAGTTTCTCATACAAAAATTTATATACACAATGTTATGTGACCCTAGTTGCTATCCCTATAATGTGACAGCACACTCCTCCTTTCCACCCCAGGTTTCCTATGTCCATTTAACCAGCTCCTATCCCTTTTAACCTTCTCATCTCACCTCTAGACAGGAGTTGCCCACTTAGTCTGGTGTATCTACTTGAACTAAGAGGAACACTCTTCATGAGTATCATTTTATGTCTTATAGTCCTGTCTAATCTTTGTCTAAAGAGTTGGCTTCGTGAATGGTTTGAGTTGTGGGTTAACAAAGAGTCCAGGGGCCATGTCTTCTGGGGTTCCTCTAGTCTCAGTCAGACCATTAAGTCTGGTCTTTTTACTAGAATTTGAGTTCCACACCCCACTTTTCTCCTGCTCCATCAGGGATTCTGTTGTGTTCCCTGTCAGGGTGGTCATTGGTGGTAGCCGGGCACCATCTAGTTCTTCTGGTGTCAGGCTGATGGAGTCTCTGGTTTATGAGGCCCTTTTTGTCTCTTGGGCTAATATTTTCCTCTTGTCTTTGGTGTTCTTCATTCTCCTTTGCTCCAGGAGGGTTGGGACCAGTTGATGCATCTTAGATGGCTGCTTGCTGGCTTTTAAGACCCCAGATGCCACTCACCAAAGTGGATGCAGAGCATTTTCTTAAAAAATTTTGTTATGCCGATTGACCTATATATCCCCCAAAACCATGGTCCCCAGACCCCTGCTCCCGCTACTCTGTCCCTTGAAGTGTTTGATTGTATTCAGGAAACTTCTTAGCTTTTGGTTTAGTCCAGTAGTGCTGACTTCCCCTGTATTGTGTGTTGTCCTTGCTTTCACCTAAGATAATTCTTGTCTACTATCTAGTTAGTGAATTCTCCTCTCCCCCGCCCCCACCCTCGTAACCATCAAAGAATGTTTTCTTCTGTGTTTAAACCTTTTCTTGAGTTCTTATAACAGTGGTCTTATACAATATTGTCCTTTTGTGACTGACTAATTTCACTCAACATAACGTCTTCCAGATTCATCCATGTTATGAGATGTTTTGAGGATTCATCGTTGTTCTTTATCATTACGTAGTATTCCATTGTGTGAATATACCATAATTTGTTTATCCATTCATCCATTGATGGGCACTTAGGTAGTTTCCATCTTTTTGCTGTTGTGAACAGTGCTGCAGTGAACATGGGTGTGCATATATCTATTCGTGTGATGGCTCTTATTTCTCTAGGATTATTCCAAGGAGTAGGATTGCTGGATCATATGGTACTTCTATTTCTAACTTTTTAAGGAAGCGCCAAATCGTTTTCCAAAGTAGTCATACCATTTTACATTCCCACCAGAAGTGTATAAGTGTTCCAGTCTCTCTACAACCTCTCTGACATTTTATTGTTTTGTATTTTTTGGATTAATGCTAGCCTTGTTGGAGTGAAATGGTATCTCATTGTAGTTTTGATTTGCTTTTCTCTAATGGCTAATGATTGTGAGCATTTCCTCATGTATCTGGTAGCCACCTGAATGTCTTCTTTGGTGAAGTGCCTGTTCATATCATTTGCCCATTTTTTAACTGGGTTATTTGTCTTTCTGTGGTTGAAGTCACTGTTATTTTATTGCCTCTCTTAGTGGATGCCTTGATTAAGCCTGTTTTATTCATTGTATGAGGAGCCCTGGTGGCGAGTGGTTAAGCGCTTGGCTGCTAATCGAAAGGTCTTGTAGATTTTAGAGATTAGATCCTGATCAGCTTTGTTGTAGCCAAAAATTTTTTCCCAGTCTGTAGGTTGTCTTTTTACTCTTTTGGTGAAGTCTTTGATGAGCACAAGTATTTGATTTTTAGGAGTTCCCAGTTATCTAGTTTCTCTTCTGGTGTTTGTGCCTTGTTACTTATGGTTCGTATTGTGTTTATGCCATGTATTAGGGCTCCTAGAGTTGTCCCTATTTTTTCTTCCCTGGTCTTTATCATGTTCGATTTTATATTTAGATCTTTGATCCATTTTGAGTTAGTTTTTGTTCATGGTGTGAGGTATGGGTCTTGTTTCATTTTTTGCAGGTGGATATCCAGTTATGCCAGCACCATTTGTTAAAGAGACTGTCTTTTCCGCAAATTAATTTACTTTGGGCCTTTGTCAAATATCAGCTGCTCATAGGTGGATGGATTTATGTCTGGATTCTCAGTTCTGTTCCATTGGTCTATGTATCTGTTGTTGTACTAGTACCAGGCTGTTTTGACTACTGTGGTGGTATAATAGGTTCTAAAATCAGGTAGTGTGAGGCCTCCCAGTTCTTCTTCTTGAGTAATGCTTTACTTATATGGGGCCTCTTCCCTTTCCATATGAAGCTGGTGGTTTGTTTCTCCTTCTCATTAAAAAATGTTGGAATTTGGATTGGGATTCCATTATATCCATAGATTGCTTTGGGTAGAATTGACATTTTCACTATGTTGAGTCTTCCTATTCATGAGTAAGGTATGTTTTTTTCCGCTTACGTAGGTCTCTTTTGGTTTCTTGCAGTAGTGTCTTGTAGTTTTTCTTTGGATAGGTCTTTTTGTTACTTTGTAATTTTTAAGCAACTGTTTCTTCATTGTAGTATCTCTAGCATCTAGCAAAGTGTCTCCTGTGTCATTCAAACTTGGTAAATGAATGAATGCATGTAGGGTTATACTTTCTCCATTCCTAAAAGAAGAGGGAAATGTAATTCACTAGCTCAGTTTCTTTGTCAACTCATTAAACATTTCCTGAATACTTATTATGCACCTGGCCTTGTATAGGGTCTTATGAATATTATAATTTTAAAAAGGTCAAAATCCCTGTCCCCATGAAACTTTTTTTTACTGAAGGAGACCCAGTGACAAGCGCTCTGATTGTATGAGGGAAACATACAAAGCTATAGAGAACAAAGGAGAGGTTCCTAAACCAAACTGAGGGAGGGAGTTTGCTTCTTGTATGAGAGGGCACTGATTCTGAGACTTGAAGGATGAAGAGGAAGAAATTAAAAAGCTAGATTAATCTTTCTTCTCTCCTTTCGTAAAATAACCCAATCCAGTTTTCATAGCTGTCTAGCTAGATGATAAGTATCAAGGAGCACAGTGCATTGATTTTGTTCCTTATGTTACTTCAGTGCTCTTTAAATAGAACTTTTGCCAGCCAGCCATGAGTGGCCCTGGGCAGCTTTAGGCACACATTTATTTCATCTTGAAGGGTACGGGCGTGAGAGATGGCACCACCAGCTTACAAAATTGTCTGGAACTTTGTGAAAGAAACAGAAAACCAGCTGAGCAAAGCAAAACATTACTTTAACCACCTACTCTAATAAACGTTGCATATTATTCTAATGAGAAATCTCCGTCGTTCAGTCATCATCATAAAAGTGGTCCTAGATAATTGCCACCACTTTGCATCTGCAGTGAAGGCCCCATAGATTAAGTGTGTTCATCTGACTGAAGTTACTTTTCTCTTTGAATGACACAGAACATTGTAGAAAATTAAAACAGAGAACAGCCTCGTTGAGGCCTATGTTCGTGGTGAATACATTTATATATATATATTTTTTCCATTGAAGTTCTCTTTCTTGCTACTCGATTTAAATCTCTTGACATCATTTCTTAATGCAATGAAGAGTTCATAATCTTCTTATTGTCACTGTTATTTTATTGCCTCTCTTAGTGGATGCCTTAATTAAGCCTGTTTTATTCATTGTATGAGGAGCCCTGGTGGCGCAGTGGTTAAGCGCTTGGCTGCTAATCGAAAGGTCAGTGATTCAAACCCACCAGCTACTCCACAGGACAAAGATGTGGCAGTCTGCTTCCATCAAGATTTGCAGCCTTGGAAACCCTATGGGACAGTTCTACTCTGAGTTAGAATTGACTTGATGGCAATGAGTTTTGTTTTTTTAATTCATTATGTAGCTTTTGATGCTATTATTAGTGCTGCTGCAGCAGCAGCTCTGTAAGGGAGAACCTAAACCCCATGTAACAATACACTCAGCAATAATAACCATAGAAATTCCCAGTTT